GTAAACAACCAAACAAAAAATTGGTTTGTATTATCCAATCAGATGTGATGTAAATCATCATTTTAATCACATGATCGTGACTGCCATTTTTTTTCGCCACTATTGTACAACCTCAAATGCTCAATTTTATAAGCTAACTAATGTTATATATAGCGAACTTCTTGACTTAAAAATATTAAATTTAATCAAGAAAACTATAATAATGCGCAATTAGTAATACCTACTAAAACTCATTTTTGAAAAATTGTAGTTTTGTCAAAAGAATTTGTTTTTATATGAATAAATATAAAGTTATTATATTTTTTAATGTATTTTAATTTAAGAAATTCAAATTAAATTAAATATAATTTTAGCAATTAAGTAAAATAGTTTTATTATTAATAAAACTAGTTTATCATTTCAGTTTCATCAATTTTGTCATATTAAAAAAGGTAATTTCATTAAATATCACTATGCACAATTAATATTTAAATAAGAGACTGCAAGTGATGAAAATGATAATAATCTTGAAACAGATTTTAAAGACTAAGTTTTTCTCTACTTTTATTAATATCTATTATTCCTTTATTTCTATTAACATCTATTACTCTTTTACCTTCATTAATATCTATTACTCTTTCACTTTTATCAACAAAAGTTCCTTCTTTACCTCTATCAACATCTGTTATTCTATCAATACCTGTTAAAAAAGCTACATATAATCTTGACTCTGTTGTAAATACACATTTTTTTACTATGTATTTTAATTTATTATATAGATCAATAACTTCAAAGTGCAATTTAAGTATTTTTGGTCAAAGAAAATTAACTTTAATTGATTAATTGATAAAAATATAGCATTAGAATTTCAATCAAAAGGAATACTATTAGGAGTATATATGAAGTATTTTAATTATAATCAAAAGAATCATAAAATATTTGTAAAGCAGTTATGAGAATCTGAATAAAGTAGAATTTGTTGTCAATTAAAGATGAGGGACGAAACTCAAAAAAGGCAATTAATAAACAGCTGAAATTATATTAAAATATAGTAAGAGATACAATGAAACCCCAAAATTAACCGAAACTATATTAAAAATATAGTAAGAGATATGACAAAATTATTTTGAGGGAGTTTTGGCTGGCATCTTTACTGTCAACTAAAAATGGTGCTCATAATTATTTTAAAATTTTTAATTAGTTGCAGCTTAAGTTGCAACACTTTGAGTTGTAATTATTTATGAATTTTTATATTAAATAAATTTACAAAAAGTTGCAACCAAATTGCAACTTCTTAATTACTGTGCCATTTTTACTGTTAGCACTATTTATTTTATTATAAAGATTTTTATTTTTTTAATCATAGAATTATGTGTAAAAATCATTTGTGAAATATATGGGATAAAAACATCAAGTCTTATTTATGTATTGGTTTTTATACATGTAATGCAATTTATAAATGTCAGGGTGTTTTCAACCAAATTTTTGATGAAATTACAACAATCTGATATATTTGTTATAATTGTTATGAACTTTATGATAGGCATTTAAATTGTCGACCTGGACTTGACAAGCAAACAGTTATTTGTAAATAATATGAATTACATAATGATAATACATCTAAAAGTTTAGAATTATAAGCTTAATAGCTCAAGTATGTAGCATATAATAAACAAAAGAAAAAAAATTCATCTTAGCTTCTATATTGATTCCAGCTTTGAATTTTTATTTGTCTCTTCTGAATTTTTTAGCTTAAATTATGAATATTATAATATTAGAAATAATACATGTTATTTAAATCTTGATAAATATATTAATGAAAAAGATTCATAAATAATTACAATTAATAATACTGTTTAAAACCTATTTAACATTGAAGCCGTGATCTGCAACTGCGGCGATCATCTGATTTAGTTGACAAATATGACAGATTGGTCATATTTGACCGATGATCTATATTTATCATA